CTCTCTCTCTCTCTCTCTCTCTCTCACCTGTTACTTGAGCATTGATTCCCTCACCCCTGTAAGAACCTCAAAAGGATTACCCTGCTACTTGCATTACTCCCCTTTTCCTTTCTGACCAGTGATCGTCCCCGTCCCGTCTTTCACAGTTGTTCATTGGGTCTTTGGCAGCCGGGACGTTGCCTTCCAGAAGGAGGGGATAGTGTTACGGACTCAGCCAGGGCTCGATCCCTGGTCGCGGGTTGCCACCCGCCAGGCTGCTATTTTTTTGAGTTTCTGATCTCCGGTTCCTGACTGTTGGCGCCCTCTGCAGTCGGCGCCCGTTCTCAAATCCCTCCTCTGGCACGTTCGGATTTCGATACTTGCGCCATCCGGCATTCTGGCGCCCAGGCTCAGACCTTCGATTTTGAGTTCAGCCCCGAGGCAAATTGCACTTCTGCCCTCGGGACTCAACTTGAGTCCGGTACTTAAGACCGGACTCAAGCTGAGTTCGGGCATTCAGTTTTTGGCCTCAGTGCTTGTGCTTCAGTGTGACTTGCTGCGACATTGTGTTCGGAATCCAAGATTGCGACTTTGCGACTTTGCCACTTTGTGTCTGCGTCCGTCAAGTCGTGTCGAGTCTGCATCGAGTTGAGTGAGCATGTGTGTGTGCTCTCCCTCTCCCTCTCTCTCCCAGCCTCTCTGCTCTGCCTCAGCCCCATCACAGCACAAGCGCCCAGCAGCACTTGCACACTTCTCGAGAATGAGCAATCTGTCGGAAATGTGGCTGGCCAGTCCTTATATTGACTTGGGCTGGGCCTTGACTCGTCCCAGCCTCTGCTTCTCTTGTCTTGACTTGGACCCGGTACAGGCTGCCCACGGCCTGCTTGCTTCCGGAATGTTGAGGCCTGGTACCTCCCTGAGTTTTCCTTGGTGTGCTGCTGCTTTTTGGCCTGCGGGACGTCACCTTTGACTGTGGGTCGTGACTCTTGCCCGTGGGATGTGACCTTTGACTGTGAGACATGACTTTTGCCTATGGGATGTGACTTTTGCCTTTGGGATGTGACCTTTGACTGGGTACTGGTTGGACTTGACGTCTGGGGTACCCGACTTAACCCTTCTGAATCTGGCCGACCTGGCCTCTTTCGGCTTGAGGACTTTTGACCCTGAGATTCGAATTTGGGGTCTGCAGCATGAAATGCCTTTCAATCTGGGTTAGCTATCCTCAAGTGGTGGTGAAGGTGACCATCCCAGCATAAGCTCACCTGGAGTAAGTCATAACAGATGTAGCCCAATCAATATCCGGCCAGTTCAGGCCCCCCTCCTTGGAAACTCACAGCGCATTTAGATTTCCAAGCATAGCAGGCTTTGCAGGAGGAGCGGACAGCAGTCTGCAATGAGCCTACTTGTGCCCATTTGTGTATTTTCCACATCGCACAGCATCTCGACGTGGATAATATTCCACAGGCAGGGGTGGGCGGCAGGCTGGCAGCCCAACCAAAAGTAGAACAGAGAACTGACAAAAGAAAATACAGAACCATGAAATGAGGGCAATGGGTCTTCTTTTCCATTCTTTCACGTTTCTGTTTTTTTTTTTTTTTTTTTTTTTTTTTGAAGGCAAAGCCCCATCTATTCTGGGGGGCATCAGTCCGGTTGCTCATCAACGGCAAGCCAAGAGTACACGAGAGGCAGTTGGAAAGGAGAAGAAAGAGTAGATCAGACAAGAGTCAGATACAGCCACCCTTGCAGCTCTAGTCGCTTACACAAAGGGGGGGTTGCTTCAGCCGCTCTCCCCCCGAACCATAACTCATTTGCAGGGTGTACTTGTTATCCAGGAAGCTTACTGGCAGCACCCAGACACACAGCATGTGGATCCTGTAGATGGTGGGGCATGGGGGAGAGCCGCCTGGCAGCCTCACCGGCTGGTCAATATCCAAACTCTATCTGAATGTCCATTTTACAGTCTTGTCCCTACGTTCTACTCAACGGTACTATCTCACGTCCCTTACCATTTGCTTGATATCCAAACACTTTCCCTACTGCCTACCTTGCTACTACAAACTACAATATATCGTATGCCTCATGCTTGGCCTCACATTACTTGCCCGTTCGCGACTTTGAGCTATGCCCCTAATATTCACGAGATCCCCTGGTTCCTTACAGTCTGTGTGTGGTACCCCGGCTTTTTGTTTACAGCGTTGTCTCCCTTCCCACCCTCCCCCTTCCCTCACATACTTGTACACCCACCCCTGCTTTCTTCCTATCCTATCCTCATCCCTCTCTTTGAATGCCTACCCTACAAGTTATTCTATCCTATCCTCGTCCATTCCCACTAACTCCCAAACCTATATGTTACACATCGGTCTCCGCTTGACATGTTCGTCGCAACAACAGAGGCCCAAATGAGATTCAGCCCCACTGGGGGTCTGGCACCAGCAACTGTGGATAAGGGTTCCATCTCCTCCAAAAGCGGTCCTTTACTTCTCCTGCTCGGTGACACCAACGGAAGTCTGCCTGAAAGGCCACTCCAATATTTTCCATCGCTTGTCCCTGGTATGCCTGCAGGGTGGGGGCCATACCATCATGCTCCATAGTGTCTTTCCACTCAATACCATACCGAGCAGGAGGTGGCAGAGAATTATTCCAGGATAGGATGTCATCAACAAACCAATACATAAATGCATATTATTGTGCTGCGCATAGATCTTGCTGAAGAAGCTCATCCATTAACTGTTTCGTCCCAGAAGAGAGAAAGATTGTCAATATCTGGTCCAGCATTGTGCGCATAGGGATGCCGACCACATGATGGCACAGAATGCCATCTGCTGCATAGGGATTAGTGATAGAGACCACAAACCGCAGAAAAGAGAGTGTCAGAGCTATGTGAAACAATGCACTTCCCACGACGAGACCCAGCTGTCGTGTACATTAGTGCTGGCCTGCTGTCCTGCGGAATCAGTGCCCAGGCATAATCATGTCCTTAGCACACTAACAAGGATCCAATCATGTGGCAGGTTGGTGTGTATGCACAATGCATAGCAGCGTTGAGCATGAGGCAATAAGAAAGTTCAAGGACTATGGCAAAGTTGATGGCGAGCGATGGAACGTGACTTTTGTACAAAGCCAACAACTGCAGAGGACTCCAACCAACATTTCTTGGGACAGCCATTGACAAATTGTTTGTGGGCCACCTCACAAAGGCCTCTGAAATGGGTACACCAATGGGGCCCACAGCCAACAAATGTGTGAGGGCCACACAAAACGCCAGGGGATTTTGCAAACCATTTATCCACCCAAGCAGTCTGAGTCCCCAACCTGATGGCCTTGATGGCATCTTCATGGTTCTTTAGACCACGGCCATCATGCAATCGCAACAGTTCAGCACCGCAATACCGATGGCCACTATAGGTTGTCAATGGTCTGGGTTCAACTTTCGGACAAAGCCGAACTGTGGAACACTCCAGCCAACGCTTCATGGGACGGCCATTGGCAAATTGTTTGTGGGCCACCCCGCAAAATGCCTCTGAAATTGGTACACAAATGGGGTCCACAGCCAAAGAGAGTGCTGAGGCCACGCACACAACAGAAAGGCCAGGGTATTTTGTGGACCATTTATCCGCATGCGAGAATCTGGGTCCTCGGCAGGCCTAAGGGGCCTCTTGCTGCAGATGTGCCCGCCCTAAGTGAAGGCGGGCCTAACAAATCAGGAGAGGCCCTAAGCTGTCAAATTTCGTATTTGGGGTCCAGGCAGCTTCGTCGCGCCAGTTGGTTGAGGGAAACACAGGCCGAGCAGCGAGACATTCCACGGCCTTCCAGGCCTTTCCGAAATGATGCAGGCCCTGGACGAGAATCGCAGGCTCATACACAGACAGCTGGGAGGCCCAACCGAATGAGCCCCAGTAGCTGCAACAGAGGCGCAGCATCCTGGGGACTACCGGAAGCTTCTGGGCCCACGCCCAGGCCAGCCAGGCTGCGAAGGCAGGCAGGCTCTTTCCATATAGGAAAGAGCTCGCTGCCTGGAGCCTCATTCAGCACTTGCATGCTGGCGGCATCGCTGCTGGAGCGGACGCTAGTAGGCTGCTGCTGGCGCTGAGAGGAAAGATGCTAGCGCGTGCGGTCGTGCAGGAAGCAGGGTGCTGCTGAGGGCAGCGCCATAGCCCAGCCTCCATAGCTGGATGGGCTTGGACTACAGTGAGGCGCAGGGGTGGTCTTCGGGTGTACAGAGGGAAGACGTTGGAGTAAGTCAGGGGAGAGAGAGAAGGATGATGATGATGATGATGTGAGGGCACATACCTGGTATTTGCGATGCTCTGTATTGGGCGACATCTTCAAGTACTTCGTGGGCTGCTGACGTCAACAGTTGCATTGTCAATTAGTAGGCAGACTGTAGCTGTGTAGAAAGTAGGCTGGGCGTCGAGCGCCAAGTAGGGAGATAGGGCCTGGACACTCATGTTGGTGGTGGCAAGAGCAAGCTCTCATTGACATTGGTTTTCAGTGTTACAATTCTTCATTGGTGTTATATTGGTGCATTTCTGCTTTCTGGACCCCGTGATACTATCTGGCCTTCAATGTGATTATGCATTCTGGACATTGTCATCTCGTTATTGCTCATTTTCCTTGCACACACCTGCAGTCTGAGTTCCCAACCTGCCGGCCTTAATCGCATCTTTATGGTTCTTTAGACCATGACCATGCATCGCAACCGTCCATTACCGCAATATCGATGGCTCTGGGTTGGTACTCACCCACTCACCTGGCGATTTCGTCATTATGTGCGCAGAGATAGTGATAGAGCGTAAGGCCACACCAGTGCACCTGCAGTCCGACCTCATCACATATACAATGCAGCCGCAGTCCGATCTCATGACACACAAGACCACAAACTTTCCTATTTGTTTACTTTCAAATCAACTTGACAAGAAGTGAGGCACGCGTTTCATACATGGATGCCCACAAGTAAATGATAATGATAAAGCAAGCAAGATAGCAACAGTGAGGGACTTACCCTGAAATCATATTTAGCTTTCGGTGGGTGCTTTTCATTCAGTAACTTATCAGCATCTATAACAGAGGCTAAGCCTTCCCAGTTCCCATCGGGGCATTCTGAGCCTCTGTCTAATGAGACAGCAGGACTTATCTCTCTGCCTCGCATGTTGTTCACAGACGGCGTCAGCTCTCTCCTGATGCAGGAACCCGCTAGGGTCTGCCGCTTGACTGTTGTCATGTCTGTCGCTATCACGATCTCACCACTTCCCGCCTTTCTCCTTTTCGCAGGCGGAATAGCAAATTGGTTCTCCTTCTCCTGTCATGCATTCACAATTCAATAACGGAAAAACAAGCACCGAACAATCATTATTACAATACCATGATGTGCTTTTGACTTGGCTCTCAGGAAGAAGATGAGCCAGGACATAAAATGCATTCCACATCTCATCAAAATCTTCCCAAGAACTACAGCAGGAGGTCGCCACTGAAGCGCTGAGACAGGCTGGAGGTGGTGGGAGGAGGTCTGCAGAGAGAGGAGATCATAAGAGTGCTTCACAAACATAGCCACCCTAATTTCACCCTCGAACTGCAGCATGCCAGCGCCAAACGATTGGTCTTCATTCCAGCTCAAGACGTTACTTCTTCTTTCTTCTTCGAGATCTTTCCATTAATGGTCTTCAATCAGGGAGGAATTCTTCTGTGCACTTCCCTCTCTTGCATGCGTATACTGCCACTCGCATGACTTTTTGACGCAGCCTGTCATCTTCTTAGTTTCTGGCGTGAGTTTGTTGAGTTTTGAATCTTCTGCTTCGCTCAAAAGATACACCGTTGGCATTCATCACCTGTCCAGACTGTGGCGGGCTATGAATCAGCCTATGACGTGTTTTCTCCACATGTAGTACTCCGTTTTCCACCTTGCTTGCTCATCTGTCTATAAAAGCTCCATTCACCTCTTCTCTCCTCTTTGCCCTCCTTTGAACTATCCTGTTTGGGGTGATGCTCCGTCATCTTCGTAGTTCCTGCCACCAGCTTGTACAGTTTTGAGCCCTCACTCCCATCACAGGATACATCCTTGCCCTTCACCTGACCAGGCATGCATTTCTCCAAATGCAGTGCTCACTCCCCCACCGTTGTTTACACCTGCCTTTCTGAACCATCCTGTCTACAACAGCTCGTTTCACCCTCGTCACATGCGTTTCTCCAAATGCAGTGCTCACTCCCCCACCTTTGTTTATACCTGCCTTTCTGAACCACCCTGTCTACAACAGTTCGTTTCACCCTCTTCACTCCTTTTTGTTCAACCTCTGAGTCATGCGCCCTTTTCTCTTACTTTGAACCATTTTTCCATACCTATTTTCCACTCCATCCAGGCTGCCCGTCTAACCACCACAGATCAACATCGGACCCTGCAACCCTTCCCTTGCAAAGCTCTATTACTAACCCATCCCAGACGAATTCCTCACCCTTCGAAGATTTGCTGCACCAACATAAACATCCTGTTTGGCACACAATGAGAATACTCGTCTCATCAAATGCAGTTGAAGGGGTCCCATGTCAACAGACTACACAGACTGCGCATACCGGCTTAGCTTTATTTACCAAAGTGCAAGAAACGAGAAGAACATTACCTGAAGAGATAATGGAACATCTCCCCAACCTCGTCCTCCCCCAACCTCAAGTACTTGCCGAAAAACGAGAGCATCACTGGTGATAGAGGCTGCTGCCATAATGGAATCTTAACTAGCTAAGAGGATCACTTGGGTAGTACCGCAACTATTTCAGTTGTTCCAGGTTGTAAGAGTGCATGACATTGTTAGACTTGGGGGGATCTCTCAAATTCACCATCAAGCTGCCAATACTCTAGTACACATTACTGCATTGGTTTCAGATCGCCTTCATTCACAACCTTGTTCTCATTTTCTGTAAATAGACAATGCACCATATTGGGTGTGCCCTTCCATTCCAAGGGGCACCAGCGCAATTTCTGTTCAAACAGCAAGTCGAACAGACACCAATAGCACAGTCAGGATAAGAACCACACGATGAAAAGTTTGCATAGCCTGCCCATTCAAGCCAAAGAGACCTCAGATTGCCCCAACACACAGGGTGGTGATGAGGAATGAGCCCGCATTTATAATCGATATTCATCCACTCCTAGCCCCTTCAGATCACTACCTTGTTCTCATTTTCTCTAAATAAAAAAATGCACCATACTGTACTCCAAGGGGCAGAAGGCCAATTTCCGTTCAGACAGCAAGGCCAACGGAAACTAGTAGCCTAGTAAGGACAAGTGCAAGGAATATGAGCAAGAGCGATATACAGGAAAACCAGTTGCGAAATCACACAGATGTCCAAGTAGTCATGTACAAGCAGAGAGCGCAAGTGCACCGAGAATCCGAGATTCCATCCAGATAAGACCAATACAATGAACTCACGAGCCAATGTCCAAGCCCTCAAACCACACCAACACCGTATCCAATGTCGCTCCTACTCTGTCTGGCGCCCAGCGTCCAGCCTACACTACTCCCCTATCCTACTACACCAGCGTTCACGCAACAGCTTCACTTTGACTTTGAAGACTAAGGTACATGATGTCAACATCATAGCTGACCTCCCTCATGCACCAGGTATGTATCTCTTCTCTCCCCTCATCACCCCTGACTTCCCACAGTGTGCATTCTCAACACCCAAAGACCACCATCGCGATCCAGACCTGCGCCCAGCAGCCCGGCTATGGCTGCCCAGCGACTGTGCGCGCAACCCAGCCGGCAGCTTCGTGCAGATCACGAAGTTGCAATGCAGCAGCATGCCCGCATTGCCTGCCTAGGCCAGAATGACCTCCCCAGCGATGCTCACTTTCCTATATGGAAAGTGAGCTCAGCCTCTGCTGCCTCTGGGCCTGGTTGGGCAAGCATCCAGGAGCTTCCAGTCGGGCCTCAATGCCTGCGTCCGGGCCCAGTTGCAGTTACGGGCCTAGGGCCTTTACAGTTGGGCACGTCCAGGCAGTCCACGGGCCTTGACATGTTTGCTGTGATCTCATTGGCTCACGGTCACTATGGGCCAACAATGCTGCAATCTAATTGGTCTGTGGCTGTTGTATGATGTGTCAGCCTCTGAACGCACACGCCCAGGGCCTTAACTGTACAGGGCCCTGGGCTCAACTGCCCGTCGAGGCTGCAACTTCTGGAAAGAGCCTAGAGAGGCTCACGTTGCTCTGTAACCAACTTGCGTGCCGCAACTGTGTCGCATACCGAAATGGTGCAGACCAGAACAAGAGCATCCGCAAAACGGTTTGACTTCCCCGGAATGTGATCGGGAAAGAAGTCGAAGTGGTCGATGAAAGCCATCCATCAAGCGATGGTGCTGTTGACGGTGTCTTGGGTTTTGTAAAAGAACAACGGATTGTTGTCCGTTACCCATCGGAATTGACTTCGACCCAGGAGGAAGTGCCGCCACCGCTTGAGCGTGTGGACGAAGGCGAGGAGCTCCTTCTTGCGTGCATCATCAATGGAATGCACGACGGACACTTTCTTGCTGAAGTGCTCGACCGGGTGTCGGTTCACGCCATCGTGTTGCTCGAGGACAACACCAATGCCATAGCCGGACGCATCCGTAATGACGCGCGTTGGCAATAGCGGGCCGTATATGCGCAAGACCACCGCAGATAATAGCACGGCTTTGAGAGCCAGAAATGATTCCCGTGCATCCTCCCCGAAGTCAAACGGCCAATCCTCGCATTGAAGCTTGGTCAAGTGGGTCTCGATCTTCGAGTATCTCTTGATAAAACGTTGGTAGTAGTTGGCAAGGCCAAGGAACGAACGGACATCCGTGACCTTCCGCGGCTCCGACCACTCTTGGATGGCTTGGATCTTGTCCGATAGCGGACTGATGCCCTCCGGTGTGACAAAATGGCCCAAGTATTCCAACTCTTGCCGGACAAATTCGCACTTGTCGTGGTTGGCCTTGTACTTGGCGCGACGGAGCGTCTCCAACACTCGTCGAAGATGCTCAAGATGATCCTCCAATGACCGACTATAGACGAGAATGTCGTCTAAGTAGACCAGCACAAACCGGTCCAACATCGCACGAAACTCGTTGGTCATTGCCATTTGGAAGGTCGCCGGGGCGTTGGTGAGGCCAAAAGGCATGACCACCCACTCAAAATGCCCATACAGCGTCTTGAACGCGGATTTGTAACATTCGTTCAGTCGGATCAAGATTTGATGATATCCTGACTTCAAATCCAACTTAGAAAAATACTTTGCGCCGCCCAATCGCTCAAGAAGATCGTCGATGCGAGAAAGAGGCCCCGCATTCTTGACGGTTTGCGCGTTGAGCTGGCGGTAGTCGATGCACAATCGTAGATCCTTGTTCTTCTTCCGTACGAAGAGAATTGGCGCTCCATATGGAGAGCTACTAGGGCCGATCCAACCCTTGTCCAACAAGTCGTCGAGTTGCGCGCGGAGGACCGTAAGCTCCTCCTCGCTCATGCGGAAAATGCAACCTTTCGGCGGCACGGCACCGGCCTCGAGAATGATCTCGTGAGAGATCGGCCGATCCGGGACCATAACGGTAGGTGACTTAAAGATGTCGGCGAACTCGTCAAGCAACCGCACCACACGGGGGTCCGAAGACAAGTCCGTGGGTGAATAGTCGGCTACCGCGACAGTCCGTAGGAAACATAAGCCGATTTCGTCGGGCTGCTCGTAAGCACAAGTAGCCCGGAATGATTTGGCCGTCACCCCTTGGCACCGAATCGAAGGGTGCGCGAGAGGAATAGTACACGACACTTCAGCGCCGAAGGCATCGCGAACGGTAAGAGTCCGCCGGTGGAAGTTGACCGTGTGATCCGCACTTGCAAGCCAAGGCATTCCCAAAATAATGTCGAAGTCCGTGTCCAAAATGTCAAATGTCACCAGGTCGCATGCATGAGGTGCAAAATACACCGGTACGGCCTCGATGTAGTGGTCGATAAGCTGCTGCGTCCTTCTGTCCGCCAACTTGATCGTCGTCGGGTTTGCCTTCCTTCGAACTTGTGCGCCAAGGCCAGCCTTTTGCATAAAGGCTGGCTCATAAAATTGTGAGACGCGCCGCTATCAAGCAAAGCGCTGCAGGACGCTTGCCCAACTTGGATGCGGACATAGAGGAGCGGTGCATTGTTGTTGTCGTACCGCAAACTTGCGGGCCACCTTGGTAACATATGCAAGGATGTCCCCCACCGCGACTTTGTCATCCGTCGCCGAAGTTGGTGGTGCATAGAAGGATAAGTACGTGTGAAGATGAGCGCATAATGTTGCGCATTGCGGTCCCGGCAAGCATCTCGTGGTCGGGAGAGGAAGCCATGCGAAATCCTCGGACATGAGCGGGTCCAATACCTCTATGTCGAACTCACGCGCCGAATCCCGTGAAAAACCACTTGAAGACGATAAGTCGCCGCTGCCGGACGGAGAAGATGCCGCACACACGTCTTGTCCTCGAGCATGAGTACCCAGCGTAGGCCGGGCAGCATACTCCTCAAAAGAATAAAGAAGAGGAGGACTATCGACTTCCGCATGTGCCTCCGAACGAAGGGCAGTCACCCGCGAAGTGACCGGTTCCAAAGGCGTCGAGAGTGTCGTCGAGTCACTCCCGGCGGTGCTCAGTTTCCCGATTTGCCCTTGCCTTTCGACTGGCAGGTCATTGTGTCGTGGAGATCGCTGTTACACCACAGACAATAGCGGAATCCCGTGTGTGCCTTGCATGCTTGCTCGGAGAGACCGTAATGGGACCATGGGGCTGGAGCTGCTGCGCCAGGCCCGGGGCTAGATGCGATGTTTGTCTTCGCCTTGCCGCGTCCTCGGCCTTTGTCGGGGCGGCCACCTTCCCAAGCGGCTGCGAGTCTGTACCCTTCATTGGCAGACACAGCCTCGCTAGTTTGGTCGTTTGGCGTTGCCGCCGCCGTGACCACGGCCACTTTCGGCCGATGCTGATCTCTACTCAGGCCTGGCGCAGACAAATGCTGGAGATTCTTGGCCTCCTTGTTCGTGACAATAATCTATGCGGCCTTGTCGAAGAGTTCTGCCGGTGTCGTCAGGGTGTCCTCGACGTGAGTCAAGGCATTGCCCAACGTCGGACACGACCTCGAGATGAAGTAGTGTTTGATGGCTTTGAAGGCCATTTGGATGTCTGGGACGGATGTCAAGCGTTGGTACTCGGCAATCCAATCAACATTCGGCAGCGTGCCTTGTTCGAAGACCATCAGCTTGTCCATTGCCTTGATCTCCGGCGGCTCTACTTGGAACCGCTTGTGGCATGCCATCTTTAGATCCCCCCAGTTGATGTTGGTATGCAACTCGGCAGCTACCACTCCATACTTGGACAGGAGATTGTCCAGCCATGCTTGGGACGCGCCCCCCAAGCGGGACTACAAGTATGCGTGATGCTTGTGCTCGCTGATGTAGTGTAGCTGCGACGTGAGCTCGAACTTGCGGAACCATGGAATCGGGTCCGTCTTCGTCGAGTCGTCGACGATCTCCTGCCCATCGAACTTTGGAGTTGTCTCGCGCAGTTCCGAGTTCGAGTGGTTGGCGGCAGTACAAATCCGCTGCTCCAACTGTTGCGTTGTGGTTTGCTGTAACTGCACGCCGTCCTTGAGGGATTCGACGTCAATCTCCAATGCCTCGAGGCGATTGGAGGTGTTGGAAGAGCTGGCAACGGGGGCGGCGACGGATTGTTCCAGCTGCTGGAGGCGGCTGGTGAGTTGATCAAACACCTGATTGTGTGTATGAACCGCGTCGTCGAGGTTGTAAATGTCCTCCTGTTGTGCAATGCACGTGGCCAGGAGGTCTGTGAGATGGGAAAGGAGTAGAGCGATCTTGTTTCCACTCTCTTCCAGCTTCACATTCTCAGCCTCGGTCCGCCAGTGCGCTGCCATTGTGAGCAAAGCTCGCTCTGCGCTGAATATCTTCTCACGTCGTTGAAGTCGTTCTTCATCGGCAACCTTTGTTGCTGCCTCGTCTTGCTGGCGATGTTGTTCAATTGCCAACAGACGTGCCTTCTCGGCATTCTCTGCCTTCTTCTTTGTTGCGGCTGCTACTGCATCCGACCGTTGCTTAGCTTCGGTAATCAGAAGCAGCATCAGGGCCTGATAGGCCTCATCCGTTTCCCCGGACTTCTGGTCCATGATAGTTGTTTGCGAGCGCAAAAGCATAGACCAGGCCGGGAGCCTGCTGGCGTGGTACTTCCTGCTGCTGACGTGGCACTATTGTCGGCTGACGTGGTCTGCTGACGTGGCCTGCTGACGTGGCTTGCTGACGTGACCTGCTGACATGGTATGCTGACGTGTCCTGCTGACGTGGCCTGTTGACGTGGTCTGCTGATGTGGCAACTTACCAATGCTGCTGCAGGGGGTACCCGAAGACATAGAGAAGGTAAGGCGAGCGGGGGCAACAACATAGGTGGGGAGGGGTGGGTGGGGATAAATCGCCCAGATAAGGAGCCAGTAAGCCACTAATCAAAAAAGAAAAGTTTGAACTTTCCAAAAAAAAAAAAAACCGAGAAAATAAAAATCCCAAGTTTTGCAAGTTCAGTAGGTCTCCCAACCTCCCTTGAAGTGTGAAATTATCAATGAGAAAAAAAAATTCAAACTTCAGACTGCCAATGATTATCAAGTAGTAAAAATAATAGAACGGCGAATAAGAAAATTTCCGAAAAGAAATAACCAGAATTCGGACTTACTCAGATGAGAGTATGCGCAGTTTGAGAAATGGTACTGCAAGAGGGATTTCCCGTACCGCTTTGAAAAAAACGGGTTTCGGAAAAAAAATATTCCGAACTTCAAAATAACGGGAAATTGCAAACGGAAATCGAAATTTTCAAAAAAAAGATATTCCAGATTTTCTAACAACGAAATTTTGAATTTTCAGAAGAAAAACGAAAATGGAAATTTCAGATGTTGCGCTATTGCGATTTTCCACAACAGAAATAGCGAGTGCAAGGAACATGAATATGGACGAAGCACAGAAATCCAGAATGCAAAATCACACTGAAGTCCAAGTAGTCCAAGCCAAATAAGATTGCACAATAGAACCGAGTAACCATCCAATTGAGAATGATGCAGAAGAATCGTGAGTCAATGTCCATGCCCAACAGGGCAACACCAACAGCATAACCCAAATGTAGCTCTCTCTTGTGAATGGCGCCAGGCGCCCTATCTACTCTACAGCCTAGCCTACAACTACAGCTATGAAAGCAACCAGACAACTTGACTACCAGCGAGTGATGATGTCAACACCAATGCCGACCTCCACCTCCACTTTCGCCCTTCACCCCTCTGCGCCCTCTGCAGCCCGACTATGGTCGCCAAGCGCCCAGTGCACAGGCAGCGTCCTACTCCCTAGCGCATGCCTGCCTTGCACTACCTCTTAGCGCAGCGCAACAGCCAGCAGCTTGCATTTGCGCAGCGTGCCGGCATTGCCCGCAATGCCCAAGATCCCTGCCCACTCGCCCTGCTTGCCTATATGCCAGTGCAGCGCGTGGGCGGCCTCCCTTCAGCCTGTGACMGGGACCCAGAGGCTRAAGCCAACCCGATACAGTTGGGCCCCGGGGCAATGCAGTTGTGCCTCTTTCRTCAASGCCGGRGGCCAGATTCAGATAGTKGGCCGATTTCCCTTYGGCATTTTCGGCCTCTATACCCAGCATGCATTGTCRGCCTCACGTTCRAGTGCCCAGGGCCYAACTAAYTCAGAGGCCCTGGGCTTTCAGCATTTGCTGAAATCCGAGACTCGGWGCACTCCAACCAACTGGCGTGCTGCAACTGTATGGACCCCACTTCGTGAAATGTTGGCACAAAGGGCTCTTGTTGATTTGCTGGCCCGCCTTCACTTAGGGCGGGCACGAGGCTTGTTGGGGCCTTAGCCCAAAACATGTACATCATGGCAAGGCCCCTACTCGAGGGCTCAATCCGCTGAGTTGCTTACTTCGCAGGTGCCTTCCCTTTTAACTTTCGTTCATAATCTGCCACCACCTGAGGAGTTGTTTCCATCAGTTCCTCCCGGGTAAACCATCTATCTTCTTTTGGATCCGTATGATGCCTGAATCTGATCTGGTACTCTCTCTTGGGTTTAGGAGGTCTTCCTCTACCCAGCGGCTTCTGAACAGGCATATCCCTGTGATCCACAATGTCGTCGATGTCGACTTGTCCATCCATGGTTGGGGGCAGCATTGATCTCCTGGAAGGGAATTGATCAGTCTCAGCGAAAGGTGCAAGCTTTGAGGCATGAAAGACTGGGTGAGTGCGTAGGTGTCCAGGGACACGAATGACATATGTGGGACCATCCAACTCATCTCCCACTACATCCAAGACTTCCCAGGGACCGAAGTACTGAGGCATTAGTTTGCGAGATATTCCGAACTCCTGTCCTAACTCACTAGCCTTTTCCCAGACACGTTCCCCTACCTGAAATGTGGACTGTCTGCGATGTTGATTCTCAGAAGCAATCATGGCTTGCTGAGCCTTCTTCATGTGTTCAACAGCCTCTTGCAGCAACTTCTCATATTGCACACCGTATTCAAGTGTGCCTGGAGTTGCAGCGGGTCGGTTTTCAGGTAGGAGGAAGTCTAGTGCTGATCTAGGCTTCCATCCTAAGTGCAGCTGGTTAGGACTAACGTCGGTACTGCTATGTATAGCATTGTTGTACAGGTTGGCGATGAGAGGTAACTGCTCATCCCAGTCATCCTGGATGGGCTTGATGTAATGCCTCAGCAAGTGTTGTACAACTCTATTCATTTGTTCGGCCTGTCCGTTGGCTTCGGGATGATTCCCGGAAGTCATCTGACGTTGACTGCCCATCTGTTCCGCAGTCTTCTTCCACAGCTCACTTGTGAATCGGACGTCTCGGTCACTAGTGATGGTCTTTGGTAAACCAAAATCCCTTACCCAATTGTCTTTGAACAACTTGATAACGTATTCTGTACTGGCTGTCTCTGGCATTGGTACTAGTCTAGCGTACTTGGTGAATCGGTCAATGATGACGAAAATGTGCCTCTTACCACTCTTGCTCGTCACTAGGGTGTCCATGAAATCCATGGAAACACTCAATCCTCGACCATCAGGAATAGGTAAAGGCTTCAACAACCCAAGCGGTGCTTGAGTTCGCGGCTTGTCCCGCTGACAGACCTGACAGGTCTCAACATACTTTTTTGCGTCATCTAGCATTCCGGGCCACCAAAATCGTTGTACTAAGTTAGCACATGTCTTCTTGTAGCCAAAGTGCCCAGTTGCGTCATGACATTCGCCTAGAAATAAACTACGCAACTGTTCACTAGATGGAACTACCAATCTCTTTATTCCGGCCTTATCAAGATAGATTAGCCCGTCCACCGTCACAAACTCACTTTTTGTGGCCTTGTCTTTTGCCTGAAGTTTGCGGATGATGTCCATCGTGACAGGGACTTCCTGATAGGCTCCCACCAATGATTGAGTTACTTCATTAGATGAGCCAAAGTCAGAAACTAGCGCACCTAGGTAGTCTGCTCTACGTGATAGTGCGTCTGCAACCTTGTTGTACTCTCCCTTGAGGTACTCAAGCTTGAAGTCATATTGGTCTATGACCTCAATCCATCGCTTGAGTGCATCA